TCCACATGAAGACATGAACCATTGGTCTAAGTGGACCTCAAATGAAGGGGCCTCACGTTCCGTTTGTTAGCTAAGCACCGAATTTTGTGCTTGCTGCAGATGACTTTTAATGATCGAACTCTGACTCACTGCCATCTAGTCGATTCCAACTCATAGTAACCATATAGGACAGAGGCGAACTCCCTTTGTGGTTTCTGAGACTGCAAATATTTATGGAAGTAGAAAGCCTCATCTTTCTCCCTAAAGAGGCACTGGTGGTTTCAAACTGCTGACCTTGTGATTAGCAGTCCAGTGGGTAACTCACCATATGCCGCTAGTAGATTCTACCTTTTTTCCTTGATTGATTGCATCAACTATCTCAAGAATTACCAGTTGAATCTCGAGCCATAATGGCTTCTAAATATAAACTTACTCTTGCCAATCAGACAAGAGTGGCTACTCTGGATGAGAAACAGAGTACAGGTGCTGGCCCTTAGGCTGGCATTTCTCACCCTCAAACCAGGGAACATGTTGTAGAAAATTCAATTGGGAAATATAGAAATAAGCCAGTCTGCAAAACAAACTTGAACAGAATCCCAATCTCTTTTGAAGAACTAAAATGCTGTCCAGTCTCCACCAGTCAATGCTAACGTCTTCTAACAGAACACTTCAGCAATCGCTCATCTTTAAAATTTAAGTGAATTCTTTCCATCATGCAGCTCTCAACTTCTAACTCACGAACTTTCAATGCAAGCACATTCTTCTACTTCTAATAAAAATTATATCATATCCTGACAACTATCTACTGAGTGTAGTAGAAGGATATGACAAAAGAGTGGATCGCTTATTGAAAGCAACTCGGAGCCCAGAACAAAAGAAGACCCATTGCCATCTGGTTGGTTGGACACACAGCAACCCTGTATAGGGTTCTCAAGACTGCAAATCTTCATCAGGGAAGCAGACAGCCGCAGTGTTCTCCTGTGGAGGGACTGGTGGGTTGAAAACACTCTTGTTGCTATTTGGCCAACCATTGTCTCTTAATGTGAGAAAGTATCATTTTTGTCTGAGGAAGAATATATCTTATAAAGTATGATGACCGTATATACTCGAGTATAAGCTGACCCGGATATCAGCCGAGGTACCTAATTTTACCACAAAAATTGCATTAAAAATGTGCTGAAAAATTTAACTTAAACACGAGTATATACAGTATGTATTCTAATGTCCATCAATGTTCATAAAATAATATTTGTCTATATGTACATTATATATATACACACACACACAGAAAGATTTCCCAGAGATGAGCCAGTCAGGGGGCGATGTAGCAACGATGAAAAATACAACTTTCCTCTAGTTCCTAAATGTTTCCTCTCCGCTCCCACTATCATGATATGAATTCTACTTTGCAAGTCTGGCTAGGCCAGAAGATGTACACTGGTACAGATAGGAACTGGAAACACAGGGAATCCAGGGTGGATGATCCCTTCAGGACCAGTGGTGTGAGTGGTGACACTGGGAGGGTAGAGGGAGAATGGGTTGGAAAGAGGGAACCGATTACAGGGAACTACTGTATATCTGACCTCCTCCCTGGGGGACGGACAACAGAAAAGTGGGTGAAGGGAGGCGTCGGACAGGGCAAGATATGACAAAATAACAATTTATAAATTATCAAGGGCTCATGAGGGAGGGAGGAGCAGGGAGGGAGGGGAAAAATGAGGACCTAATGCTGGGGGCTTGAAATGTTTTGAGAATGATGAGGGCAATGAATGTACAAATGCATTTTACACAATTGATGTATGTATGGATTGTGATAAGAGTTGTATGAGCCCCTAATAAAATGATAAAAAAAGAAAGATTTCCCATGTTTGCATTAAAAAGTTATAAAAAATACAGTCTATTAATTTACCAGTAACAGATGCACATGTTCTATAAAGACTACCTTCTCTTTGGAAATTTATGATGTTTCAAAATCGGATGGCACAGAACCCGGCAGCATTTCATTCTAAGGTTCTTATGGGTCGGAGCTGACTTGGCAGCACCAACAACAACAAAATGAAATTCCATTTTCAGCACCCTCATTTCCCTTCGATAATAGATGAGCTTGATGCTGGATAGTACTGACAGTTTCGCTCACCCTCTAATTGACCAATTGGCAAGTTTTGTTATTTATTTTTTCACAGTGCCCTTTCTTTCATTTTCATTCTCACTGTCTCCAATGATAATAAACACCTTTTTTAGATTTTTCATTCTCTTCCCCAAAATGTCTTTTCTCTCTTTTAACAAACACCTGAAAAATCACAGCACGTGAACATTCCAAACACGTGTTTAGCTATAAAATTTGGCCTATTTTAGCCATGACATGACACACTACGAGAGGACACAGAGAACATGCTCCTGTGGGAAACAGAAGGATTTCTCCCAAGTTGTCTCCCCCAATATATGCCAAACTTAGCTGCTTGAGAATGACTACACTTGGAGGTCATCAGGAGTAGCCATCTGGAGCAAGCAGACATCACTGTTTATCCCACAACAAGTAGGGCCCACTCCCTTCTGTTTTCCTTGTAGGAGACACCGGAGAGGTCAAACCGCCCAAGGATGACCAAGATTAGGCTGCCATCATGAATCTAGGGTCCGCCCATCTTGTCACATGTATACCCCTAGGCCTTCCCATTCCTATGGGCACACCCCTAGCTCATCCCCTTCCTGTTACGCTTATGCCTATCATACATCCCCTTCCTACAATGTGTATGCCGATTGTACTGCCCCTTCCTGTGACGTGTGGTTACCTGTAATCATGTCCCCCTAATGAGATTTAACCCTTGGTTAGCAACAGAGTTGAGGCTCTCCCCGGTTCTCACCTGGAGGGCTCTCCTGCTCTCGTTCCCAGGGCTTTCTCCTGCTCTCATGGCCGGGTTCCCCCCACGAGGACCACCAAGCGGGGCTGAGGTGAGCATGCTACCATGAATTGTGTCTTACTCCATTAACTCAATCTCTCCTCTACCTCTCATGATCTCAATGACTTCACTATGATCTTTACTTATTATCGCTGTACAATTGCGCCTACCGGACCTGTGATGATTTGTTGGGGACCCTCCTCTCCCCACGATGCTCCCAGAGAACAGACTCTCCCCTCTCCCTTCTCCATTCCCTTCTTTGCATCTCTCCTTTTCTTCTATTACTCCTTTCTCTCCTTCATCTGTTTTCTTTCTTCATTTTCCTCTTCTCGGGGCCTCCCTTCAGTGTTTTCCCAAACTATGTGTATGAAAACCCTCTGAATGAAAAATGCCATATTTATTTGAAAATTACATTCTCTGGTTTAACTGCAAGTTTTAGCCACAGTTGTGCCCTTCTCCATCTTGGCACTGAAATGTATTTGTTTGTCTACTATGTCCTAGAATCTTTGTTAGGATCTTGTATTTATGATCTCATGTAATTTTTGCATGTATTTCTTGCTTCATAGCTAAAGTAGATACCGTATTCCTTCAGGGCAAGGATGATGTCTTACACTTATTGTATATTCTCCTCAGCACATAGAACAGAAATATATACAGGAAACTCAAATACAGAAGATTAAATATATCTGGCAAATTGATAAAACAATCATACTTTTCTTATACCTGTTCTTTTGGGCTCTGATTCTAATTAGAAGGCATGTTGTGATCCCTCCTATACTACATCAACTCAAGTGTTACAAAGTAAGACAACTAAAGCTGTTTGATATTGGTATAGCCTCCAAATTTGTTTTACTGGATGTAAATATCACTTACAGAAAAATAATGTGGTAACACGTGTGGGACTTCTTGGCATCTCAAATTAAACATATACATATCCTGTGCTTTTATTTTTCTGCCCGATTCAGAAGACCTTCCATGTTCTTACCAGCATGATGTTCTCAAGAGGTAAAAAGGAGAACATAATTCTTAGGGGCCTCTCTTTTCTGGGATGCACTTCTCACAAGATGAAAGTGAAAAGCTGAAGTTTCAAGGATTTCTGGATGCAATGCAAAGCACATCTGTTTACTTGGACATTCTATTCAGGGGAAGATTGATTATTGGCAGGTGAAGGTTAACGGGGAGGCTTTCAACTGGCAGGAAGTCTATTCAGAGGACATGTTGTATTACGGACACGTGATTTGGTGCGAAGTCATATT